GTATTCTTGCTGTGTGGCCCCAGGTGTGCTGTGTAATTTCCAGGTCTTGTAAGTAACAAACCTGCATCTTTTCAAAGTTTCCTAATGCTGTTGCTGCAGGGTGTCTTTCATAAACAATAAGAACCGCAAGGGCTGGTCCAGGCACAACATTGGTTATGGATAGGCTGAAACCAGTACAAAACATCTGTGCATTTCCCCCCGAAGCTTCATATCCAACCTGGGGGAGGCGGGGTGGCCCCATGGATCCGGAATGAATTTGGTGGAATCACAGCAAGAAGACAAAGGAAGGGCAGTGAGAGCGGGAGGAGCTAACTCCGGAATCCAGGCCGCCTAAGGAAGGTGCTGAAGTCAGGAGGGCGCTGGTTGCCTGGGAGAAAATCAAGAGAAGTGGAGCAATTGGAGGCAGTGCTCAAAGACTAAAATATCCGGAGTTTAAGCCCTAGCTGGGTTGGCTCAGTGGATAGAGCGTTGGCCTGTGGACCAAAGGGTCCCGGGTTCTATTCTCGTCAAGGGCATGTACCTCAGTTGCAGGCTCCTCCTTGGCCCGGGCCCTGGTCGGGGCTCATGTAGGGGGCAACCCATCAATGTGTTTCTCTCACATCAATATTTCAATCTGTCTTTCCCTCTCTCTTCCACTCTCCCTAAAAATCGATGGGAAAATATTCTCGGGTGAAGATTTAAAAAAATAATAAGAATAAAATAAGAACCACCCACCCCCCAACAAATAAAGAACTCTCACCTTTGCATTGGGAAAGGTACATACCAGCCAAACCCTTTACGTCAATCACAAATTATTTATTCAAATTTTATTGCTTCAAGCTAATGCTTTGCAGAGTCAGCAGCCTTTAAAAACACCTTTCTTGCTAGAACCAGGTCTTCTTAAATTGTGATTGTTTGATTATTTTGTCGCTAAATCTATAGATAACTTCCTTTCTTAAAGATTATTTATTACTAGAGGCCTGGTGCACAGATTTGTGCACTGATGGGATCCCTCGCTGTGGCCTGCACACTCTCACAATCCAGGACCTCTCAGGGGATGTTGGAGAGCCAGTTTCAGCCCAATCCCCGCAGGCCAGGCCGAGGGACCCCACCAGTGCATGAATCTGTGCACCAGGCCTCTAGTATGCATATAAGATCTTTGGTTAACCTCTTCCCTCCCCCCCCCCTCCCCCGTTCCCTCTGAGATTCATCAGTCTGGTCCGTGTTTCCACGCCTGTGCATTGAGCGTCTGCCCCCGGTGGTCAGTGCGCATCATAGCTACAGGTCGAATGGTCGATTAGGCTTTTATATATATAGATATGCATGAATACGCATCTGTAGAAGTGTCCGCTTGGAAGCAGCCAGGGACCCAAGGCAGAGGTGAGCAAACCGTATCTGTACAGGGCCAGAGAGTAAATACTTTTCACTTCGCAGGCCAGAAAGTCTCTGTGATAGCCACTTGACCTTGCCTTTGTAAGCCCAGAGCAGACATAGATAATACCTGAATGAATTGTGACCATGTTCTAATAAAACTTTACAAAAGCACAGGCTGTAGTTTGCTGATGCCTGATCTAACTTAAAAAAAAAAAAAGACACTCCAGCCCTAGCTTGTTTGGCTCAGCGGATAGAGTGTCGGCCTGCAGAGTGAAGGGTCATGGGGGTTTGATTCCCGTCAAGGGCACATGCCTGGGTTGCAGGCTTCATCCCCAGTAGGGGGCGTGCAGGAGGCAGCCGATTAATGATTCTCTCTCATCATTGATGTTTCTACCTCTCTCTCTCCTTCTCCGTTCCTCTCTGAAATTAATAAAAATAGACTCCAGTAGGTTATACAACCTTGTGGGAAAGTCTCCACAAGTTCATATTTTAATTGGCTTCACTTTTCAATTTTGACTTTTAAAAAACATTTATTTATACCGTAGCGTGTTATGACCATGTAGAAATGAAGTAATTTGTGAATGATAATGACATGTGGAAGGTTCTGACTACAGATGGGTTGATGGAAACCTGATAGGTCAGGATGGCACAACGTACATCTGATGGTTGTCATCGTAACTTCCTTGAACTCGTAAGCATGTCTTCCGAGCCTTGAAGAAATGCGGTATCTGTCATTGTAGTGTCACTCCTTTCCCCGGGCTCTCCATAGGCACAAGCAAGAGTATGATTCTGTGTTTGCTGTACTGATACTTGGATTCTAAAATACTTCCTTGTGGAAATTCAGTGTGTTCCAGGAAAACTAACATTGCACTGAAAATCTGTTCCCGGCTTTTAGAGACTCTTCATTAGCAAACACCTTTTTTAAAAAAATATTTTATTGATTTTTTACAGAGAGGAAGGGAGAGGGATAGAGAGTTAGAAACATCGATGAGAGAGAAACATCGATCAGCTGCCTCCTGCACACTTCCTACTGGGGATGTGCCCGCAACCAAGGTACATGCCCATGACCGGAATCGAACCTGGGACCTTTGAGTCTGCAGGCTGATGCTCTAGCCACTGAGCCAAACGGGTTAGGGCAGTAAATACCTTTTTTAGCAGTAAAGTATGGCTTGGTCAAAAATAACTCTGACAAAATGTCAAGACTCAATGTTGTTCTTGTGTTGTATTTTAATTTTTTAAAAATTGATTTCAGAGAGGAAGTGAGAGGGAGAGAGAGAAACATCAATGATGAGAGAAAATCATGGATCGGCTGCCTCCTGCACGCCCCCTACTGGGGATCGAGCCCACAACCCAGGCATGTGCCCTTGACCAGAATCGAACCCGGGACCCTTCAGTCTGAAGGCCGATGCTTTATCCACTGAGCCACACCGGCCAGGGCTCAATGTTGCTTTGGTGATTGAGAAGACAGGCTTAAATGGGAGGATACTTCTCCTCAAATAAATGACTCTTCCTTAAAACGTCAATCAGAATTATGTAGCTTGTCTCCGTAAAGCATTTAAATACTTACTCTTGTGCTTTATTAAATATTTACTATGAAGGTTGCCAGTCTCTGATGTGGGGTGATGTTTCAATCAGGGCCGAGAAGGGCTATTTTTGACCAGTCATTCTTTGGAGTTAAATGTGTGCACGTTGGTAGGACAGGAAAGGAATGGAATGTCAACTTTTTGCCAGCGGCTCTTTTGGCTGAAAAGAAGCTTCTCAGTTCTTTCTTTTCAGCATGAGTCACACGGAGAATTTATCTGAGGAGGGGCATCGAAAGACGTGAAAGGCAATTAAGGAGAAAAAAAAAAAGGCTTACATCCACGTTGGTCCGATTTCCATTGGAAAACGGTTCCTGGGAGCATCACTGGTTACCAGTTTTTTCTTTTTAAAGCGTAAGGACTGAAGTGTTTATCTGGAGCACGCCCAGGTGGAATGGGTCTTATTTAGGCCTCGTTCTGAAAGGTGATACCAGAGACCATGATCTGCTTTTCTCACTATGGACACAGAAATTCTCATCAGAGTGGTCAGTTGGGACAACTTCAGGGAATAATATCTGAAGGGATTCTTTTATTCCAGATGGTAGAGAAAAACAGAATGTATGACGCTGATTAACCTCTGGATGGGATCAATTATATTTACAGTTTATTTCGAAGTGTTACTTGAATATCCTATATAATAAAAGTAGAATATGCAAATCAAACGGTGGAACGGCCAGTCGCGATGACACGCACTGACCACCAGGGGGCAGACGCTCAATCCCGGAGCTGCCCCCTGGTGGTCAGTGTGCTCCCACAGGGGGAGCGCCGCTCAGCCAGAAGCCGGGCTCAAGTCTGACGAGTGCCATGGCCATGGCGGGAGCCTTTCCTGCCTCCGCTGCAGGCAGGCTGTAAGGAATGAGGGGTGATGTGGTGTAATGTTTCAATCAGGGCCTAGAAGGGCTATTTTTGACCAGTCATTCTTTGGAGTTAAATGTGTGCACGTTGGTAGGACAGGAAAGGAATGGAATGTCAACTTTTTGCCAGCGGCTCTTTTGGCTCTTTTTGGCACAGCCCTGGACTGTGAGAGGGATGTCTACTGGCTTAGCCGGCAGGTGGACATCCCTCAAGGGGTCCCGGACTGCGAGAGGGCACAGGCTGGGCTGAGGGACTCCCCCAGTGCACGGATCTCATGCACTGGGCCTCTAGTACAATATAACAAGTGTCCGATGCTGAATCTGTTTCCGCTGTTGTGCAGAAGGCAACCAATCTATGTGTTTCTCTCACATCGATGTTCCTCTCCGTCTTTCCCTCTGTCTTCCACTGTCTCTAAAAATCAGTGGAAAAATGTCCTCGGGTGAGGATTAAAAAAAGAAAAAGTAGAAAAAACGAGCATTGCCTACATCCCCACACACTTGGGGCTTCTCTCTGCACATTTGAGCCCCGGGTTGCATGGAGTGGTAGAGGGAAGGGGCCATCTGAGTAGGGTGTCCACACATCTGGATTTTAATAGGAAAATCCTGTTTTTGTCTATTGTCCAGATGTAATTATTAAGTAGCACTACTCTAAAGAGTGTCCACATAGGGGTCGAAGTTCTCCAGCTTCCCAGCAATGTGGCCATTTTGGCTTTCAAGAATGAGTACGTTTGAAGGGCTCCTAAAATCTCAAAAAGATTTCTCCTCTGCAGAGGTCTCTGACTCTTTCCTGTCCGGTTTTAGAAGTCTGGAAGTTTAACCACTTCGTGCCCACATGGCCTACAGACTGAAGTTTTGGCAAATTCAGGGTTTTTGTTATTGTTGTTGTTGTATTTTCCCCAAAAATATATATATTTTTTTATTTCAGAGAAGGAGGGAGAGGGAGAGAGAAATCCAGGCATAAGCCCTGACCGGGAATCAAACCATGACCTCCTGATTCATAGGTCAATGCTCAACCACTGAGCCACACTGGCTGGGCCAGGCACGGATCTCATGCACTGGGCCTCTAGTACAATATAACAAGTGTCCGATGCTGAATCTGTTTCCGCTGCGTGAAGCAACGGCTGAGCCTTGAACGTGGGGTGATGGAAAGTGAACTCTGCCCAACTTGTGACCGGGTCTGCCCTGTGCAGCATTCCCTGGGCACAGGAGGTAGTGCATGTGTTCTAGATCTCATGCCCCATCCTAGGCATTGCTGTAGCTCAGTGATGGCAAACCTATGACACGCGTGTCAGCAGTGACACGCGAACTCATTTTTTTGGTTGATTTTTCTTTGTTAAATGGCATTTAAATATATAAAATAAATATAAAAAATATAAGCCTTTGTTTTACTGTGGTTGCAAATATCAAAAAATTTCTATATGTGACACGGCACCAGAGTTAAGTTAGGGTTTTTCAAAATGCTGACACGCCGAGCTCAAAAGGTTCGCCAT